AACTTTGGCTCAATAACTTAAATTTGCCATAACTTAGACTTTTTGATGGAGCTAACCCACATTTGCGTTACATGGGGAGGAAGACCACGAGTACCTCCCACAGTTATCCTGACTGCAAGGGGACTCTAACCCATGACCCGTCTAAGACTGAGGATATTTTACGTCAGTACTGTGGTCAGCAGTATTCATATGGATGGATGATCTAATGTAAACAATAACAAGCGTCCTTAAACCGGAAGAAATGCAGAAAATTTCCGGTGTATCCCTCCGCTTATGTTATGACTACGAGGCGATGTGTGAACAAGCCTAATATTCTATGCAGTTTTGTTATTGTAATTTGGGTTAAAATCTGAACATAATTGTACCATTCATAAGAGCTTTCAGAAATGTATTGATTCTCAGAGGCCGTAAGGCAAAATTTTTTTTTGGAAAGTTAACATCTCATTGTGAATAATTCTTAAGGTTTGCCATATTTTGTATTTTATCCCTTATTTGGCTACATTTGAATAAAATGTCGCCAAAAATATCTTTAAAAATATCTTTTTAAGTTAGCCTAATTAGCCTTAGCTTTACACGATCACCCATCCATAGTAGTCATTTGCACATGTGTGTGCCATTCGTTTTCGGGACAGTTCACTTTTGATGTAAAGTAATTGTAGTAGTAATTTAGTTACGTCGCTCTAGAATTACACAATTGAATATTGACGATTGTTTGGGAAATATCCCTGAGAAGGATCCGATAGTTTGGGAAATCTCCCTGAGAAGGATCCGATAGTTTGGGAAATCTCCCTGAGAAGGATCCGAATACATACTATCACTATTTCGATTATCAGTTAAGGGGAATGGTTCACGCTAAATCTGTCAGGGTCACAAACTCCTCCAAGTGATACCTCTAGAAGTTCTGGATTGGAGTTAGATCTTACTCTGACTCAGGTGAAAATTACGATTTGCAGATGAATGGATGTGTCCTCCCAGTAAACCGGGGATTCTGTGTTTCAAATGACCTTCCTCATGCATACTGACTGCAGTCAGTGATCGACTGGATTCTGCTATATACTGGAAACAGTGTCATGACGGTCAGTCCATTGTGGGACCGCTTTGTATGTGGAAAAAAAATCGCGTATGTGAATTTGGTGATGAGTATAGAAACCAGATAAGTATATATTTATCCTCAAAAAGCTCTCCAATCAGGTTACTTTCCAAATGCACATGGGAGATTTTTTTATCCTCATTCAGTTAGAATAGATTACTGCTTTAAGAAAATGTCTTAAACGTGGCAGCAAACGTTTAAAAACTACTGGTAACTACTGGTAAAAACGTCTTGCGCATGTGCAAATCGTATTGACAAGTAATCGATTTCATTGAAAGTGCTTTAGAAGCATGATACGTGAAATACGCTAGTCTACGAGAAATTCTTCTATCAATTGCATATAGTGAGCAAAGCCTAGAAAGAACTTGCTTATTCATTACAAACCTTTTACAGTGAGAATTATTTTTTGAACTAATATTATCTTTAAAGGTTATTGTTGTTTATTTACGTCGCATTAGAGCTGTGGGCTATTGGCGACGGTGTGGGAAACATTGAATATGATGATCCGAAGTAGGACTGGTTTTAAATTTATTACTGATTTTAAGTTTATAAATCTTGCTGTTTTTATTTCTAGAAATAAAGTTAAAACAAAACTTATTTTTTGTCATTTGGATTTGGGTAAAGTCAATCAACTTTGTTTATTCAAAAAAATTTGAAAGGTTTGCGTATTTTATTCATTTTTTAAATTATTAAGCACTTCGTTTTATTAGAGAGTATAATATTTTTTTTAAAAATATTCTCTTCATATTATTTGTTAATTAGCTAAATATATTATCGAATATCACAATTCTTTTGTTTTTCTTTCTAAGAAATTAAACCTTTGTTTTTCTTTCATAATTCGGTTATAATTCAATTTAATTTAATTATTTATCTGAAATAATAATAATAAAAAATAGTGATTTAAAAGCGTTTTTTTTTTCTAAAATTTATTTAGCACTTTGTTTTAAACATAAAAATAATTTTTAACGAACTTATTTTTTAAATTTTCTTTTTATACTGTTAGATAAATATAATGCTAAATTTCAATTTTATTTATTTTTTTATTATTTATTTTTAAATTAAGAAATCTTTCGTTTATTTGCATGATCATTTTTAGAAAATGTAACAAAACTTACATTTACTTTTTCATTTAGAAATTGAGCATTACGATCGAACTTAATAATTATTTATGCATAATAGTACGAGAAAATATTAATTTGTAATATTGTTAGAAATTTGACTTTCTGTGCCTTACAAGTAAATGAAATTTAAAAATACTATATCGCGATGCATCACGATATATAATTTCTAATATCGCCCAGTCCTAATCCAAAGACATGCCATCACAATTTTAATCCTCTGCAGAGAGGATGGCACCTCAGCTTCGGTAGCCTGACGAACTGCACGCGAAATCTTGACGTAAAAAGGCGCAAGAAGATTTCTCATTGCCAAATGGCAACATTAAGGAAACCCAAACAGTAACCAAAACACAGGATGCCAAAAAGAACGTTTTCAATCTGTCTGGATAGTTATTTTGTAGCTTTTATTACCAAGGAATTACCAAATTAAAAATAATTATGTTTCTTCTGACTATTAACTGTTTGATGGAAATATGTTTGTAATAAAATATTGAAAAAGTATAAAGGTTAAGTCAATATTTTGATGCTTAAAAAAGTTTTGAAACCTAATAAATGTGTTGTACATTTCATGATGAAAAATAATCTTATACTTGGGTTAATTCTGCTATTTTTAAATAATTATTCCTAATTAAACATGGAAGATCAATTGTTGGCTTTAAAACATTTAGCTCTTAAATATAAAGCTTAGTACTCTAAATATCAAATGGAACACAATTACTTTCTTTGGCAAATATTTTTTTATAAAATTTACGATGAATAAATCTCCTCTTATAGAGCTATAGCGTATTGAATTTCTAAGATTCTTTGTCTTGGATTTCGGATTTGAAAGCTTTATTATGAATAATTATATATGTATTAAATAATTTAATTTAAAGAAAGAGATAAGTTCAAATGTTTTTCTTTTTTTGATATCTGTATATAAACCCATTTTGCTTGGTGGCTTTTTTTAGTATAAATAGATGTGAGGTATCTTTATAAATTTTTCTTGGCAACAGTATAAACATATTTGCAATGTATTTGTATAACATTTTTATTTATGGTACTTAAGTATTAAACCAGCAACCAATTTAACCTATTCAGAAAGTAAATTTATATGTGGTTCAAATTGTAATTTTTGCTCATTTTTTGCATGTAAGAAGTTATCTTTGTATTTTTTTTCTTACCCTTTCACAATAAATTACTTTCTAAAAATAAATTTGAAAGATAACGAAGGCACAGTGTTGGTGAAAATGGTTGACGCGATAATACGTTAATATTCTCTCAGGATTCTAATATTTATAAGAGTGAAAATATAAAATTTATTGAGTAATAAACAGGAAATAAAATTTACAAACATAAATAAACACTATTTAAATTGAACATAATATGCTGCTGCATCCATATAGGCTTTCAAAGGCATGTGGTTTATTCTCGTTTTCAATGCAGTTAACCTTTCATTCGAGTGCTTGTATTTTTTTTTTTTGCACCGGTGGGTTCTGTGCCCCACACAGCAACATAATTTTTTCTGCATCGTTTTCGTGATCAATTTTTTTTATCATATCTATGAATATGTAAATATTTGGGTTTGATGTCACTCCTCTACGGCTTAGTTTGGAGTGCCACCCCTCGACATGGTTATTTGTCCGCACATTGTCATTGTTGTCAAAGTGGTTCCAAATGTGCCTACAAAATAAAACAAAATAATATTAAAGACGAGTAAATTAAAGTACATTAACAATTATAATAAAAAAAAATTGAGATTTTAATGTTTTTTCTAAAACGTTTTTCAAATGAATAACAGAACTTTTTTCTTTAAATTGATGCAATTTCATCAGTTTTCTTTTAGATATTATGATTATTTTACATTCTATGTTTCATTTTACTTATACTTTTATCCCAGAAAATTAATTTCTCATAAATTTACTAATTATTTCATTAACTCATAGTGGATGTTCCCTTATACACTGTATGTTTTTATTCATTTTATTCTATGTTGCCCACCATTGATTTTGCATGGTACCTAGTGGTCACTTTAAGATAAATTATGCAATAAGATTATTTTTTCTTTTAAATTTCTTTCTTTATTTTGAAAATTAATGCCAGGGAAAAGTAAGTTAAGTGCCTAGAAATTTTCTTTCGCCAGGATGTAATAAAAGAAGAAATATTCTGTGTTAAAGGCTTATTCAGTATGAATGGTTTAAAGTTTCTTTATTGTTATAAACCTGTACAGGGTGGCCACCCACCTTGAAAACCTGGAATTATCAGGAAAATTTTTTTATGCTGGAAAAATCAGGGAAATTTGGATAGAAACCTAGAAAAATCAGGGAATTTTAAAGAAAAGCTAAAAAAAATTTCTGTGATATTTTTTTAAAATTTCACTAGTTTAAATTATTTACTAATTTTCTTAATTTAAATTATTTTATCTGATTAATTTAATTTTCAGTTCTAATAATTTAAGCATCTAAATAATTTAAATTTCTTAATTTAAATTATTAGACTGAAATGTATTGCCAAACAGGTGAAAAATCATTACCTTACCAATACTTTGTTTGCATCAAAATTTGCTTCATTATAACCCTGTTAAACTAGAATGTGACATAAATTTCTCCCATAGTTGCTAAACGATTGTAGAAACCTTTGACTTCTTTGGAGACTATGGGACTGCAATTTGGGAAGGGGTTGGGATATTTGCTTCGGTTTTTAATTTCTATGTTCGACACCATGGAATTACCCAATTGTAAAAACAAAAACAATTGANGTAACTGATATTGCTTTCTGGAATAAATAGAATTGCACACATAGTTAAGAAGTTGTATCACTGCTACGATTTGCTGTGTGACTTACGGACTAAACTGAGAACCAGCATCTATCGTTTTCATGTATGCTGTGAAATTATTGATTTGGTGGCTTGTTGGGGCATCTCTTGTGATCGCCAGGAAGGCATCCCCGATCTGGTGGACAGGAAGGACTGATAACCGCCGAATCCACCGCCTTGTATCTTCGCAGTTTATGTAATCGGATACCAGACCTAACGCTTGAACCTGAAATAAAACATTGACATTAAAATGAGCATTAGTGATACTATTCTCAATACTTAAAATTTTTCTTTGAATTTTTAGTCTTTCTAGTGTACATGTAGGGACTAATTTTGATCAATTTTGATACTGTTCCTAGGAACCATCACAAAAATTATGTGAAACAAAATGGCATCTTCACCAAATTTACTGAAAAAATCATCAGAACTCTACACACTTTATACAATAATTCAACCGAAAATCGACACTTCCATAATCATTTTATAAAACATGAAGAAAGAAATAGACAGTTTTGTATTTGTATTTTTTTCATTGAAGAAATGAATAGGCTCATATGGTAAAGCTTCAAGATATTATATTCTTGTTTTTAGCAGTTTTTTAATCCTCGGTTTAATATTTCTAATAAGGAATGCTTGAGTTTTCGTAAAATAATTTGGGTAAATTAGTTACCTAAAAAAAGTAAACTTAAGTTTTTTATCATGTGTTATAATTATAAGAAATAGTTCCTTAAAACATTTTTCTTAAAACAAATAAAATATTGAGCTGTATTCAATCAAAGTGTTTGTTAAATATTATTTTCATTAAAAAATATTAAATATATAATGTTAAATATTCTTTTGCATGAATAAAGCTGGTTTTTAATAAAGTAATTTAAGTTATTAAAAGACGACTCAATCTTTACGTACCTTCCTCCAGATCGATTGTGAGAAGTGGAAGTAACAACCTTTAATGACAATCCATGGGATGACTTCCTGCAGAGCGTTCATTGCGCCAGCTTCAAAATCCATCATGGCACATTCTGGGTTAAAAATATACCCATTATACCAAGCGATATTGCTGACATGTTGAAACAAACGTAAGTAAGTATGTTTCGACTTGTCAGGCAATAGGCTATAGACTAATGGGAATATTTTTCCCATGAATGAGCCATGAATGGTGTAAAGCTGGCAAAAGAGTTTCGGTGCCATTTTGAATGTGCCATCCAAATATATTTTTTTGCATTGACACAAAACCTCCAGATTTTCTTTCGTTCCGAATATCTGAAAATTAAATAAAAATTTTTTATGTCTTTAAGATAAATTATGCAATAAGATTATTTTTTCTTTTAAATTTCTTTCTTTATTTTGAAAACTAATGCCAGGGAAAAGTAAGTTAAGTGCCTAGAAATTTTCTTTCGCCAGGATGTAATAAAAGAAGAAATATTCTGTCTTAAAGGCTTATTCAGTATGAATGGTTTAGAGTTTCTTTATTGTTATAAACCTGAGCTTATCTATAGCATTCTTCTCTAATTGCAGCGTGGCCACCCACCTTGAAAACCTGGAATTATCAGGAAATTTTTTTTATACTGGAAAAATCAGGGAAATTTGGATAGAAACCTAGAAAAATCAGGGAATTTTAAAGAAAAGTTGGAAATTTTTTCTGTGATATTTTTTTAAAATTTCACTAGTTTAAATTATTTACTAATTTTCTTAATTTAATTTATTTTATCCATTATACCCTCATTTTTTAGACTGAAATGCATTGCCAAACAGGTGAAAAATCAGTACCTTGCCAATACTTTGTTTGCATCAAAATTTGCTTCATTATAACCCTGTTAAACTAGAATGTGACATAAATTTCTCCCATGGTTGCTAAACGATTGTAGAAACCTTTGGCTTCTTTGGAGACTATGGGACTGCAATTT